CCAGCACTGCCAAAGTGCCACAGTTGTCACACCTCTCATCCCTGTGCTGCCCTCACCATCCCTGCTTTGAAGTGTGGGTCTTGGAGCCAGGTTGAGCCTCCTCCTGCAGTGCTGGCATCCCATATGGGCACGAGTTTGAGCTCTGGCTACTCCATTTCCAATCCAACTCCGTGCTGATATGCCTGTTAGACAGTGGAGGATGGCTCAAGTGCTTGGGTCCCTGCACCCATGTGAGAGACCCGGTTCTTCCTGGCTCTTGGCTTCAGCCTGGCCCAGCCCGGCCATTGCTGACAGTTGGGGAGTGAGCCGGAGGATGGAAGATCTCTGTCTCTCCAGCTCTGCCTTTAAAAGAGTGCGTAGCATGGGTCTTCCACCAGCTCCCACCTTTCCCCGGTGCTCAGGGTGCTCAGAGCGGGTAATCCCAAGAATGTGCCCGGTGTTGGCCATAACCCTTCCCTACCCCTTGCTGGTGTTCTGTAGCTTCCGGAGAAACTGCTGGTTCCCGTCCTGGTCTCAGGATCGGCTCCTAGGGAAACCCCAACCAGATGGACACTAGTATTTTTCCAGGAATCCCCGTGAGCCATCCTGTTACCTCCCCCAGCTAGGACACCTCCTTTTGAGGACCACTGCCGTACTGCACAGCAATCAGGCCATCTAGGCAGATGGCCAGAGCCCAGAGCCCCTTTGCACACCCTCAGAACAGCCCCTCCCGGAGTGGAGTGGCTATGGTCGTGAGAGCCTCCCTTGGGTGTTGAGCTGAAATCCTCCTGTGACCTTGACCCTTTTGCCTGGGCAGGGACCAGAGGACACAGAGACCTGCTGGGGGGAGGGGGCATCCAGACTCCCAGCCCTGCCCTGCTGGAGCCAAAGCTGTTCCATGTGTGTTATGTATGGGACTTTTCCTGAAAGCCTTTGTTTAGGGGAGAAAGAGGTCCACAACTAAAAAACCAAATGCGTGAATGAAGCAGTGCTTACTAATGACTGACTCTAGTTCAATGTCGTGACACCGTCCCACAAAGACTAGGTGAGTGCTCAGGCACTTAAGCCTTACCCAAGTGCCACTGGTTCCAGCATTGCCCTGGTCGCTCAGGAGGGAAGGGATTCCTTCCCCTCCAGCCTGAGGTTCTGCCAAGCAGGGCACAAATTGCCTTTCCCAAGCCTTGGCACCAGGCCTGACAGCAAGGTTCTTAGGAGGTCTCCAGAACTACTTCGCAGCAGGGGCCATGGGTCACATGTAACCAGGAGCAGGTGTCACTCCCAGGCAGTCGTGGCGCAGCCAGCTTGTGGTGGCCAGGCAGTGGACGCGGGCAGGTGGCTGGCTGTAAAGTCTTGGCAGGACCGAGCGCAGCCAGCACGACTGCTCAGTTTACAAGGAGAAACTGTAGTGCAGAGGAGTTGCACTGCCTGGTTGCATGAGCGAATGTAGGGAGCAGAATGGGACTTTTCAGCATGGGCATTTGGTCTCCATGCTGCTCGGTAGCCCTGTAACCCATATGCAGAGGGCCTGGGTTCAAGTCCCACCTGTGCTTCTGATCCAGCTTCCTGCGGACGTGCACCCTAGGAGGCAGCAGGTGTTGGCTCAAGGACTTGGGTCCCTACTGCCCACATGGGAGATCCAGATGGGGCTCCGGGCTCTTGGTCTCAGCCTGGCCCAGCCCATTGTTGCAGGCATGTGGGGAGTGAACCAGCAGATAGGAGTTTCTGTCTGTCCATCACTCAACTAAAATAGAAATCAATAAATAAAAAAGAGAGAGGCTTTTCTTGGCTGCATTGGGTTCCTGTCAACAGCTGAGGGCGACAGTCCTAGTGGCCACGAATACTGTATGGTGCCTTCCTTGGCTTTTATACCTGAGTCCACCCTTCCCAGGGCCGAGCGGCCGGGTCAGCGACCGGGGCCTCTGCTGAGCCCTTGTTGCTCAGAACTCAGGTTCTGGATCCTTACAGCTGTGGGCTGCACCACACCTGCGCTGGCCTCAGCAAGCCCAGTGCTTGCTTCTGTGTTTTGGCTCCCGAACTCCTGCAGATGGTAATGTGCCAAAGCCAGAAACTGGTGCTCCTGAGAGGAGCACCCCCTGATGGGCCTTAGGGGGTGTGTCCTTAGAAGGTAGTTCTTGGGAGACGATAGGTTCTAGATGTCATTGGGCCAGCCTCTCTCTGCTTCCTGGCTCTTCAGAGGAGCCTTCCTGTGCCCCACCACGGCTGCCCTTTGGCTTCACCAGGCCAGCAGGTGTGTGTGTCCTGGTGTATTAGGGTTTCTCTCGATAACCCTAATACAACACCAGGACAAAGCAAACCCTGGTTGGCAGTGTTTGCCAATTCCTCTGGCACGACAGGGATTTCAGGCTGCCATCACCGAACGTGGAAGTGGCAGGAGGTGTGCACACCGGCTCTTGTACGCAGACCAAGCTAGCCCTGGCATACCATGAGCCCCTCCCCGGGCACTGTTCTCACTCCTCCTCCAGGGCAGTTGACTTCAGGTTTGTGGGTGGGGTGACTGGTAGCTCCAAGGTCATGTGTGCCAGTTCTCTTCTACTTTCAGCCTCCAGATCAGGTGGAGGACAGATTGCTGGCCTGGCCACCTTCCTCCTACCTCTCAACATCCTCCTGCCCATGGCCAAGTTCATAGACCCAGCCAAGGTCCCTCAGGCACTCTCTTTCTCCTCTGCCTCCTCTCACAGGTCTTGCTGCCTGGCCCCTGGCCTCAGGCCCGGAGTCAGTTGATTCAGATTTAAGGATTATACCTGCGATCAGATCTGGAGTCAGGGAATGGAGCAGAGGTGGCAAGCAGCAAGGTTCTGTGCAGTCCAGAACCCCAGCTTGGCTTCCCAAGGAGCTGTGGTTGGGCTCCCAGGCACCAGCCCCGCTGGTAAATGCCCCACTTAAAAAAGCCTTCCTGGGATCTGCTCGCTAAGGAATCCCATGGGGAGGAGGAGTGCTGAGAAGGGGATTCAGTAATTTTTAGGTCTCTGCCCAATCATCTTAACACCATCAAAACATGACCTCCTGGAGCCCAACATGGCGTCATAACCTTTCTCACCATGGCACACCGGGGCTGTCACCTGCAGTGATTAGCAGTCATGCAGGGTGAGACCTGTGGGGCCAGCTCAATACGACAAAACTGAGAAACCCGTTTCTGGAACACTGCTTCTCTGTAGTGTGTGTGCGTGAGGGAGCTTTTGGAAAACCGACTGTTGGACATTCCCATGCGGGATAAGGGTCTGGGTGGGCAGGAGGGGCTCCTCACACAAGGCACTGCTCTGCACCGAAGACCATGCACTGCTGAGCGCCTGCTTGAGCTGAGTCCTGTGCAGCGACCCCGGCCACCTGCCACACGTGGCACTTGGCCACAGGACCTCACTTCGCTTCCTAGGCCTGCATTGTTAGCTCAGGTGTGGGCTGGTGAAGCACTGTGATGTTGGGAGGCTGCATCCTGCTTAACTCATTAACAGGTTCATGGCTTTTAGGCAAATCACTTGATCTCTTTTGAGCCTCACTTTCCTCTCCTGTAAAATGGGAATAGAAATGGACTTTTGATTGTGAGGATTAAAGAAGATATTGTGCTGTGTGCTATTCCAATGTAAGGTGATATCTTGGCCTTAAACACCCAAAGCTGTCTTAAAGTACATTTCCCCTTTAAAAACACAGAACAGGGTCTGCTGCTGTGGCGTAGTGGGCTAAGCCTCCGCCTGCAGTGCCCGCATCCGGTATGGACACTGATTTGTGTCCCAGTTGTTCCACTTCTGATCCAGCTCTCTGCTAATGGCTTGGGAAAGCAGTGGAAGATGGCCCAAGTGCTTGGTCCCCTGCAGCCATGTGGGAGACCTGGAAGAAGTTCCTGATTGGCCCAGCTCTGGCTGTTGCAGCCATTTGGGGAGTGAACTATCGGATGGAAGATCTCTGTCTCTGTAACTTAATTTTCAAATAAAAAAATTTTTTTTTATGTAGACAGAGAGAGACAGAGGGAAAAGTCTTCTTTCTGTTGGTTCACTCCCCAAATGGCCGCTACAGCTGGCGCTGTGCCAATCTGAAGCCAGGAACCAACTGCTTCTTCCTAGTCTCCCATGTGGGTGCAGGGCCCAAGCACCTGGGCCATCCTCCACTGCCCTCTTGGGCCACAGCAGAAAGCTGGACTGGAAGAGGAGCAGGCGGGACTAGAACCCAGTGCCCATATGGGATGCTGGAGCTGCAGGTGGAGGATTAACCAAGTGAGCCACGGCGCCGGTCCCCTCAAATAAAATCTTAAAACACACATATATAACATTCAATTTGAGAAATGGAATGAATGGGAAAGGAATTTCCTGAAGAGGGCCTTCCCCATAGCCTTGGGATGGGACTCACACATCACTTATTTCAAGAAAATGTCCATTGCACATGGCTTTGCATAAAACTGAACTCGTCTCTGCTCATGGAAGCCTTACACCCTACAACAGTTAGGGGGTGCTCAACTACTCTAACGCAGTCCAGAACGTGTAGTGGGTCAAGCACAAATTTATTTGTTGCTCCCAGACCAGCCAGTCGAGGCTGGTGGGCAACTCTCCACAGACTCTGAGATCTGGTCTCCTCCACCCCAGGGTTCATCACGTATGGCCTGGTTGTCACTGGCGGTTCCGGTTCCATTTCTGTTCACACCCCACTGGAGAATGCTCCTGCCACAGGGGCACACCTGTCTTGCAGGGAGGAGTATGGTAGAATGGCAGCTGAGAAAAATACCTCAGAGGAGGAACTTGCCAAAACGGGTTGATCACAGTCAGTGTCAAAGCCAGGACCCCACTCTGACTTCCTCTCCCCTGACTCCTGCCCCCTCCCACACCCTGTTCTCCACCTTGCAGATGGTGGGATCACTCTGGGACAGTGATGGAAATGAACTTGTCATCTCCTATGCCCCCTGCATCCCCCCACTGTGATCTTTCAGCCTTTGTCCATGGTCCCACGGGTTCAAGGAGGACACCTGAACCCTCATCTGACCCCACTCTGGTCCGCCGAGCAAGAAACAACAAGGCTTCCAGGTCACACTTTTATTTGTACAGAAGCAGCAGCCCCACAGCCAGAGGCCTGGATGCTAGAGAAGTCGCAAAGCCTGCAGCTGTGAGAGCCCGATGGGGGAAGACTCATGCCTTTCTCCTTGGTCCCCCTGACCAAAGAAAATACAAAAATCACACACCACACACTGCCACACCCACCCCACCCTTCCCTTCCCGAAACAGCCAATTATGCAAGCTTCCAGCCAAAAAAACTGGCTACAGTCTTGATTTTACAGGGTTTCCTTGCAGCCAGGAAACGCAGGGCTCTGGAGGGAGAGGCCTTCTCTGTTGCTTTCCTCGTGCACGGCTCCCTGGCACTACGCCTAACTCCACCCGAAGCCACCCCACCCCGGGCCTGGCTACAAGAGGCCAGAGCTGAGCTCCCCACGCCTGCAAAACTGCCTCTCGCCAGGCGAGGCGTAACTGGAGCAACACGAGGCTGCTGCGATTCCCAGATGCCTTTCCTTCCAAGCCCAGGTCCCGGGGAAGACCGGTGAGGCGCTGGAGCTTGGTGACAGGACTAAGGACAACAGAACCTGCCAGCATCTCTGGCGGCGGCCCTGGTGGCTCCGCTGGCCAAGTGTTGGGTTCACCTACCTACTGGTGCTAGCCATTCATCTGCAGCGGCAGAGTCATTACGCTGAGCACTGAGGTGAGAGCTACCGACGCATTTCACGTGCTTTGCTAACTAGAGGCCAAATGGGCGAGGCTGGGTCCTTCCTGAAAATGAGAGGGGAGCTGGCTGCAGAAAGGACCTCAAGGGAGGGACACCCCCAAGCGTCCACCTGGCCATCCGTGCTTCCCCGGACTCGCAGCACGAGGCTTGCCATGGGGTCTGAAGCCATGGCGTCCGAGCCGGCCAGAGGCCCCGGGGAGGTGTGATCTGTGCCCAAGGGACAGAGAAGGAAGCTGCTCCCTGGGTTCCAGCTGCCCTTCAGGGACATGATGCCTCCTCAGATTCGGGACTTTGAGCTGCGGCTGGGCAGTTCTTAGGATGGAGCTGCATAAACAACCAAGCTTCGCTAACACGGGGAGGAGGAAGGGCCCAGGGAGGCTCCCTTCCCTCTGGAACGGAATTGGAGTGAACTTTTCTCTGAGCTTAGGATTTGTAAGGCACTGAAATTAACTACAGCGGGCGGTGAGGGAGAAAGAAAACAAGGGGATGAGTGATGGGAGAACCCACGCTGCCACGCTTTCTTCCAGCCCCACCGTGAAATCCTCACAGAAACACGAGGGTGGCAGACTCCACTTCCCATGGCTGCAGGCCCCACCCCGCCCCCGCCCTGCCCCTGACGGTTCTGGGGACAAGCAGCAGCCTGGAGGAGGACCCCAGGGGCTCTGGCTCCAATTCAGAGCTGGGACCTGCTCTCCACCTGGGCACCCTGGGCCAAGGCTGGGCCAGGATTCAACTTTGAGACGTCCTCCAAGGGTGTCTGAGCGGCTCAGCGGCGGCTGGGAGGGCCAGCAGGCCCGAGAGCAGAGGAAGGGGCAGAGAACTTTGGAATCAGACCTGGCTTTGGCACAGCACATCTGGGCCTGCCTGCCCCGGGTGTCGCCCTCCTGCTCCCCACAGGGGGCTTTCTGGCTGACTCAGGCAAGGGCGATGCACCTTTGGGGCATGCCTTCATCATTCCAGCCAAACCTGGGCACAGGTGACCTAACGGGGAGCCTGGCTTGACTCAACAGCTGAAGCCAAAGCACTTGAGTCAAGAGGCGATGCTGACGGGAAGCAGTAATCATAGCTACTGTGCATGCAGCGCCGTCAGTGGGGCAGTGCGTGGCTTGGTGGTGGCCACCTGCAGGTAGGTATTATGACCCCTTTCCAGATGCAGGCTGGGGCTCAGAGGGGGCAGGTGACAGCCAGAGTCACAGAGCTAAAGAGCAGCTACACCGGGACCAGGCTCGGGTTTGTCTGGCTACCCATCCCACATTCTTTCCACCTGCCTGGGCCGCCCCCCGAGGGGCTGTCCGGGTGGGATTTCTGGAGGGGTTTCTTTGTGAAACTGTGGATCCGGGAAAGCAGCTGAGCCAGGGCAGCAGGAAGACGTGTCCGTGTCCACACAGGCGGCCTGGCTCAGTGCCTCGCGGCCTTGCAGATCTTGTCGTAGACCTCGGGGAAGGCACCCTCGCAGTTGAGCTGCTTCCGCAGCTTGTGGTACAAGGAGCCATCAAACATCTCCCAGAACTCCTCCCGGTTCATGTAGCAGTCAGCATAGAGCATCTGGAACCTGGAGGGGAGAGCGGAGGGGGTGAGGGCACTGGCAGGGGGCAGCAGGAGGCCTCTGCAGCTCAGGCCATGCTTCGGCAGGACCTTTTTGGGGCACCTGCCCTGGGGACCCACTCGCTCGGGTGTCTCTGGGGTGATGATGTGGCTTAATAGGGTGGCCGAGTCCACAGCAGGGCTTAGACTGCCGGACTTCTCCCGCTGCTCCTAGTCCGATCTTCATCTTTCATGGGTGTTCAATAAACCACGGGTACTTAAGGTACACGATCTGACAACCTGGATGTCCTTAGGCAACCAGGAAGCCAGGCCTCCACCATCCCCTGGGCTCTCCTCCTCCCCGCACTGTCCTGCGTGCCCCCAGGTAACCGCTGACTACTGTGTCCACTGAAGGGTTCCTGTGCGCTTTCTGGAATGTTCTGTGCATGGGATCATACGGGGTTCTCATTTCCTGGCTTCTGTCAGTCCCCATCAAGATTCGCCTGTGTCCTATGGGGCAGGAGTTGGTTCTATTCCCTGTCCCACGCCTCCTGGGGGTCTTCAGTCTCAGTTTCTTCCTCCTGAGCTCTGGCCTGTCAGTCTGGGGCAGCGGCCCCTGAATACCTAAAACCACACCTGTCACTTGCTCTGTAGGGAGGCGAGGTTTCTGACCCCTGGGAGGATGTGGGCTACTCCCTGGAGGAGGGGGGCAGGAAGAAGAGGGACCTGCATTCCTGTGATTCCACCTGCTCTGTCTTCCACAGCGACAGCCCCATCAGAGGCTGCCCAGCTAGGGGCACACTAGGCAACTAGCTGGTCCAGCCTGGGCTCCTGGTGCTTGCCCTGGAGCTGGCCGCACTCCCAGGGGCAGCCAGGGGCAGACTCCCAGGTCACTCACCCATGCACACTCCGGACAAACTTCTCCAGCTGTCTCATGCAGGAACTCGCATCAAAGTGTTTCACGCGTGGTTCCCCGTATGCACCGATGTCGACATAGAGCTCGGTCTCGTCCCCCTTGGGGTGCACCATGCCCGGCTGGCTGGGCAGGATGAATGGGCACAGCCAGATGGGGTAGACCTGGGGAGACCAGAGTGCTGGGCGTCAGTGCTTTTTAGCCCATAGGCTCACAGCTGGCTCCTTCAGACCCACCCAAAGGAAGGCTCTGCAACGGCTTCCTGGGCCCCAGCTCTGGCTGCTCCTGGCTTCACCCCGGCCTGTCCAGGCCTGGCTGAGAACACCCTGACTCTGCCAGCCGGAGGACACAAGCCAGGCAGTTCATGGAAGTGCTGCTGCCAGGCCTTTCGACCTCCCCGCCCACCAGGGTCATCCCTGAATTGGCCGAGGCCTCAGCAGGTTAGGAGACAAGGCAACTGAGGCCCGGAGGGCAAGTGCTCACGTGGATGTCATTGTGGAAGGTGTGCAGCGCCTGTGGCAGGCACTTCATGGGCACCAGCATGTCCTGCACCACGTGGTGCTGCTCGTACAGCTTGCGCAGGGTCTCGCCCTGGGTCAGCTTCAGGAGGGAGATCTTGGGCGGCACCATCCAACCAAAGAGGTAGCGGAAGACGGGGTTGTTGCCAAAGGGGATGATATCCTGAAAGACAACAGGCGGGGGTGCAGGGAAGGGAGCAGTGAGGGAGCTGGCCCGCGGGCCCGGAGGCCAGGGCAGTGTGGCCGTGCCTGGGACTCTAACAGCTGCATCTGGGCTTGGTTCTCAGCTCCGGCATTTACCAGCTACGACCAACTTGGGCTACTTACTAACTTCTCTGAGCTCAGCTTCCTTAGCTATAGCATGGGAATTTGGAGGACAATAAAAATTCCAAATGAGAGGCACCCAGGCCAGTGCCTGGAGCAAAATGATGAGGTAGGTACAGTCCTTGCTCTAGCTGGTGAGGTCAGAGTGGCTGGCCCCGAGCAGGTGTTCATAAATGTTTGAGAGATTAATGCTAATTCAGGAAGACAGACACTCAGAGCACTTAAGCAACTTCCCCAAGGCCACACAGCAAGGACAGTGTTCAGCTGACAAGCACCCAGTTGGTCTGCGTTGCTCGCTGTTTGCAGCCTGCCACTCCCCTGCCTCCAGCAACCCCTGCCGGGGAGGACGGAGGAGCAGCTGCTTCCCAGCGATGCCCCCACGCTTCAGCTCCTCTGTTGCACCTGCTGGCTGGCAATCCTACCCTCCCCCGCCCAGAGAAGAGGATGCCTCCCTGCTCACCATCATCCTCCCGGCACCCCATCCTCAGAGCCCCTGGAGCCCAAGGACATTGGTTCACTCACTGATCAATTACAAGGTGCTCAGGAGGTCAGCACCGGGTTCTGTGCAGGGTGCTGGGGATACTAGATAACAGAGGCTTTGTCCTCCCCTCCCCAGAGGATGCTCGCTAGCCCAGGGGAGGAGGAGCTGGGCAGAAAGAGGCGGAGGCAGCTTCCCAAAGAAGCTAGTGCACTAAGCCGCACAGGCTGGGAGACTCTCCTCCCTCCCCTGTAACCACCTCCTCCGACCTCTGACCACCCCCACAAGGGCAGGCTTCCTGGGGCAGCTGAGAAAGAGCCAGGCACATTCCCCGGCAGGAATCCCAACTGTGCCAAGGTGAAGCCTCCCCTCGCCTCCTCCCAGCCTGACCTCTGTCCCCTTAGCCCCCACCAAGGGCAACCATTCTCACGCGTTATTTGTGCACCTTCCGGGGACACGTGATGCACAGACAAGCAGCAGAGTTCTGAGGAAAACGAACAAAAGCCCCGGGAACGGCAGCCTCTCGCAACTCCCTGCTCGTTGCCAGGCCCTGTGCGTCAACACAGAGCACCGCGATACTGTCGGCATGCCTGCACCGGGCCCGCCAACTAAGCCTGCCTGTTTTCCTAAGGAAAGTTGTGCTTGGCACAGCAGTTAACATGCTGCTGGGGACATCTGCATCCCACATGGGAGTATCTGGGTTTGAGTCCCCACTCTGCTCCTGATCCCAGTTTCCTGCTAATGTGCAACCCGGGGAGACAGCAGGTGATGGCTCAAGTACTTGGATTCCTGCCACCCATGTGAGAAACCAGGATTGAGTTCCAGGCTCCTGGCTTCAGCCTGTCTCAGCCTTGGCTGTTGCAGGCATTTGGAGAGTGAATCAGTGGACAGAAGAGCTTTCTTGGTCTCTCTCCCTTTCAGATAAAATAAATACACAAATAAGGACTCTTAAGTTTCACGGGAACACAGTGGCATCTGTTCATTTACGTCCTGCACATGGCTGTTTTCAGAATGTAGAGGCACCTCATGGACCACACAGCGGGACTGTGGCCCCCGGCCCTTTCCACAGACGCTCCTGGTGCTTGCTCTATTGCACGGATGCACTGTAACGGAGTGGTTTTACACAGAGGGACGCTTAGCTTACTTCCAGTTATTCCCAAGACCACCTGTCTACAGGCATCTCCACCCATTCCTATGCACACGTAGCAGCAGGAGAAACTCCCGGACCTGGAAGAAGCTCCAGACGGTGCGTGCAGTTCTAGAGGACACTACTCTCCCAGGTGATGGGGCGAATGGCGCTGCGCCAACCCTGGCCTGCACGGGGCTGCACATGTGTACGCCTGTTATCCCACTCTCATGGGGGAAACCTAACGAGTGACACTGCATCATTTCCCTTATGTTTAAAAAGCCACTTGCATTTTTTTCCCTAAAAATGGCCCAAGGTATCAGCTGAAACCACTCCCTTTCCAGGCTCAGGCTCGGCAAATTCGTGGTTTTTTTTTTTTTTTTTTTTTTTTAAGATTTATTTATTTGAAAGGCAGAGAGAACGTGAGAGAGAGAGAAATCTCTCTGCTGGTTCACTCCCCAAATGCCCACAACAGCAAGGTCTGGATCAGGCTGAAACCAAGAGCCAGGAACTCTATCCGGGTCTCCCATGTGGCTGGTGGGGGTGCAAGTACTTGGGCCATCTTCCACTGTTTTCCCAAGCCCATTATCAGGGAGCTGGATTGAAAGTGCAGCAGCCGGGACTGGAACCAGTACCCAGATAAGGGATGCTGGCGCTGTAATCAGTGCACAAGGCTGGCCCAAAGTTCACGTTTTACACACCGTGCCCTGCCCCTCTCCTTTCCTGCCTCTGTCTGCCCCATCCATCACTCACCCTCCTCTCTCTTAGTGACTGTGGGCCCCGTGTCCCCAGCTTCACTCCTGTGCAGCCGACACATGCAGCCAGGCACTACAGGGAGCCTCACTGCCCCTTCTTCCCTCCTCCAGCCCTGGCTTTCCTGCTGCCCTAGACCTTGATCAGGGCACCTTGTCTTGGGCTCTTGGGCACCTCTGTCCTACTAGACTGCAAGGCCCTGAACTTGCAACAACCCCACAATCCTTGCTTCCTATTTCAGTGAAAAATCAGAAGCGACTTGAAGGGAACTCCCACCCCCAAATCACGCTCCCATTTGTAGCACCTGCACTCATTTGTTCTACCTCCGTCCTGTCTAGGCTCCCACCAAAAGGCAGCACAGGAGTTGGCCCCATGCCCTACGCCAGACTCCGCCCTACAGCATGGCCCGTCTCCTCTCCACTGGGTCGTTCCTGCGTCACAGAACATGCTGAGCCGGCGCCGTGGCTCAATAGGCTAATCCTCCACCTTGCGGCGCCGGCACACCGGGTTCTAGTCCCGGTTGGGGCGCCGGATTCTGTCCCGGTTGCCCCTCTTCCAGGCCAGCTCTCTGCTATGGCCAGGGAGTGCAGTGGAGGATGGCCCAGGTGCTTGGGCCCTGCACCCCATGGGAGACCAGGAAAAAGCACCTGGCTCCTGGCTCCTGCCAGGATCAGCGCGGTGCGCCGGCTGCAGCGGCGGCCATTGGAGGGTGAACCAGCGGCAAAGGAAGACCTTTCTCTCTCTGTCTCTCTCTCTCACTGTCCACTCTGCCTGTCAAAAAAAAAAAAAAAAAAACAAAACAAAAAAAAAAAAAACATGCTGGCAGCTCTCCCGTCTTGAAACAACCACACATGAGCTGTCTTCTCTCAATCCTCCCCCTCCCAGCCCACCAGCTGCCACACTATTTCTCTGTTAAAGGGAGCTTCTCAGATGGTTTTTTTCCACTCTCCAAACTTCCTGTTTCCAGTTTGCTCTCAAAGCCACTGGTTTCATTTCAGTTGCTCAGGGTCAAGGATGACCTCCCGTGGCTGAGCAGAGGTCCAGCCCTGTCCTCATCTCACTCAGCAGCCTTCGACACAGCTGTCCATCTCTGCCTTTTGACCCAGTCTTCCTGGGCCCTGGGATGCCACAGTCCCCCGGCTTTTCTCTGGCAGCGCCTTCTCCTCTTCACAGCTGGCTCCCCTCCCCTGACCTGAGGGTGGCTCAGAGCTGAGGGCTTTCACCTCCGTACCCCATCTGCCCTCGCTCAGCTGCTCCCGCGGCTGCATTTAACAGGTCTCTGCTGCTTGTGCCTGCCTGGACACTTGCAGCCTCAGCCTCTGCTGAACCAGTGCTGACACACACAGCCCGCTGCCTCCGAGTGTCTACCTGCCGGGCAGAAAGGCATCTCACACTGACACGCCCAGACCCCACCCCGTGGCGTCCATGCCAGTCATGGGTTGTGTCCTTTCAGCCAATTTTTGGGTGCCCACCCTTGGGATCACACCCACAGCCAATCTGAAGTCCCGTTGGTTGGCTCAAGCTTCAAGGTACTTCCCAGGCTGGACACTTCTTCCCTCTTCCACTGCTGTCACCCTGGATAGCATCCCCCTCCTTCTCCTCCTGCCCAATCCTCACCCCATCCCCTCTCCATCCAGCTGTCAAAGTTAAAGTCTTTTAAACAAAACTACAGCCACGTCGCTTTCCTGCTCAAAGCCTTCCCTGGCTTCCTATCACACATGGAATAAAATATCAAGTCCCTCCTTAGCCTAGGAGCCGCACGATCTAGCCTCTGGATCCACAGCTCCAGGTGAGCAGCCTTCCTGCTGTTTCTCCAACACGAACAGCCCTGCTGGGACCTCTGGGAACATGTGTGGAAGAATGTTTCACTACCTCAGAGTGTAACAAACATGAACTCAAATGGGCCAACAATCTAAATGTAAACCTAATAGCTAAATCTCTGGGGTCAAGATTGTGGTACAACTGGTTAAACCACCACTTGTGACGCAGATATCCCATGCTGCAATGCCAATTCGAGTCTTGCCTGCTTTACTTCTCATACAGTTTCCTGCTAATGTATGTGGGAAGGCAGTGATTGATAACCCCAGCGCTTGGGCCTCTGTACCCACGTGGGAGATCAGGAAGAAGCTCCTGGCTTTGGATCAGCCCACCTCTGGCCGTAGTGGCCGTTTGGGGAATAAACCAGCAGATGGAAGACCTCTCTCTGTCACTCTGTCTCTCAAATAAATACATAAATTTTAAAAGAAAAAGAAAACATACAGAATCAGAGAAAATAGCTGCAAATTATGGATATGATTAGGATCTAGTACATAGACTGCGTAAAGAATTCTTGGGGCTCAACAATAAAAAAAAAAACAAATAAAAATGGGCAAAGCAGGGACCGAGTTGTGGGGCATTGAGTTATACACATTCTCCTGTGAGGCTGACATCCCATATTGGAGTGCGGGTTCAAGTCCTGGCTGTTCCACTTCTGATCCAGCTCCCTGCTAATGCACCTGAGAAAGCAGCAGAGGATGGCCCAAGTGCTTGGGTCCCTCCCACCCACATGGGAGACCATGATGGAGTGTCTGCCTGGCTCCTGGCTGTGGCCTGGCCCAGACCCAGCTGTTCAGCCACTTGAGGAGTGAACCAGCACATGGGAGATTCTCTCTCTCCCCTCTGCCTCTTCCTCTTTGTCATTCTGTCTTTCAAATAAATACATCTTTTCAAAAAAGGGCAAAGGACATGTTATAGACACTTCTCCAAAAGAAGACATACAATGGCCAACCAAGCACATGAAATGATGCTTGACACCATTAGCCATTAGGAAAGTGCAAATCCAAACCACAGGGAGGCACCACCCACTTTATACCTATGATGGCTATAATGACACTAGTAGTAATTTAAAAACCAAAACGTAACAAGTGTGGGTGAGAATGCAGAAAAGCTGCAACACTCATCCATGGTGGGAACGTAAAATGGGGTGCTGCTGGGGAAAGACCTGGCTCCTCAGTGAGTCAGAAAGAGCCCTACCACAGGTCCAGCAACCCTGCTGGGGGCAGTGACCCAGAACTGAAGACTGGCTCTCGAGGGCAACTGTGGACACGAATGCCCACGGCAGCACTATTCACAACAGGCAGAAGGTCAAAACAACCCAAATGTCCATCACCAGGAGAGTGGGAAAACAAAACGTGGGCCTCCCATACAAGCCATAAAAAGAAGTGGGAAACTGGAAAACATTAGGGGCAGTGGTCAGTCACAAGAGGCACCGTGTGATCCCATTTGTAGGAGACATCCAGAACAGACAAATCCAGAGACAGAAAGTGAACTGGTGGCTGCCACCAGCTGCAGAAGGGGTGACTGCTTTATGAGTACAAGGGTCCTTCTGGGGTGATGAAAATGTTTGGAACTAGAGAGAGGTGGCAGCTGTATAACCCAGGAGCGTGCTCACTTCCCCTGACCTGTGCACTTGACAATGGTTCCTTTTAGGTTAGTCAGGTCCTGGGCTCTGGGAGGTCCTCAGCTGGACACTGCCTGCTCCCTCCCTCCCCAGGCAGCCCACAGCTTCCAAGGGGCCCTGGAGCATGAGGCAGCCTGACTCCAGGGGAAGCCAGCATGTGTGGAGACCCCAAGCTCCAGGCCCAGCAGAGGGGAGGAGAGCAGGGCCAGCACACAGGGAGGTCCCCAACACAGCCCCACGGCCCCCGTACTGGTCCACCCAAGGTTGGCGTTAGAAAGCACACCTGGTTAGGAGGAGGGCATGGCAGTGGGTTCATTTAGTAACAGTGAAGCTCATCGTAGGACAAAATTTGTACAACAGATGCAGAAGAGCTACCCTGGACAGCAGCTCACACGCAATGCTCATTTCCACGTCAGCCACATGGACCCAAAGGGTGAAGAGTGACTTCTAGAAACACAGGACAGGGCGCCCCCCAGGAGACAGCCCAGATGGGGCTTGTACTTCAAGTATGCCTGTCACCCACCAGGTCCCAGGCAGGTGCTTGGGGGTCGGGCCCCTCAGCAGGAAACAACAGCCTTCCAGCTCCTACCGTGGGCCCTTGGCTCCCTGTCTAGGTGGCTGAGAGGAGCCGGAAGCCGCCCACCCGCCTCACCTGGAGCTCCCAGAAGATGCTGCGCGTGTGGCGGTGGTAGTAGTGCCTCAAGGGGATGTACTCCAGGCCCTCTTTGTTTGTCTTCAGGTAGTTCTCCACGTGTTTGAAGAACCACGGCTTGTAGTAATTGCCGATGCTATTCAGCTGCAATGACAGAGGGCATTGTGATGAGCCCGCAGACAAGTGCTGGGCACCGCTCACTGTAACAGTGATCCCTGGCTTGTGTTCTGTGAGCCTGGCCTTTTCAAAGCTTGTCCCTATCTGGGACGGCCTGAGAGAGTCTTGGAAGCTGGGTAAGGTCAGACACGGTGGGTATCTCTACCAGAAGTGCACAGGCTCCAGTGGGTTGAGTGGTGGGCTCGGGGCCAGACTGAGCGACTGAGCGATTGAGCGACTCCATCCTAGCCCGGTGCGCCTTCTCAATGAGGGCAGAGTGCAAAGATTGACAGTATCGGCCATAAAGCAGTGCTCCCTGCAGGCGCATTCCTGCTCTCCTAACCACTGAGCACGGGTCCTCCCTCCTCACCGTGCCCCAGGACCCACAGCACTAACTGACCACAGCACTTTCCCCTCTGACCCTGGACCAACCCCTCCTAGGCAGCCACCACCACCTGCCCGCTCCCTGGCCCTGGACCCCCTGGTCTCCAGTGCCTGAATTTTTTATTGAGCTGGAAACTTCTTCAGTCCTAAATGGTTCAGGACTCACTTTGCTACGTGCCCTGGGAGGACTCAGCTTCCTGCTCTGTGAAATGAATTCTGGACAGAGGCTCCCAGTGAGAGGCATCCCGGAGGAGCACAGGCTAAAGGGCTAGGGCAGCCGGGGCCAAACCTTGGCCCAGTCAGTAACAGTGCAACTCGGGCAGGTCACTCTGCACGTTTCTTCACAATAAACTGACAATAAAAATACAGACTTCACTGGGTGGGCATTTGGTGCAGTGGTTAAGATGCGGCTTCGGACACCCACATCCCATACTGGAGTGCCTGGGTTCAAGTCCCACCTCCCTCTAATCCAGCTTCCTGCCAACACAGACCCTGGGAGGCACCAGGTGACAGCTTGCTCAAGTACCTGAGTCCATACCACACATGTGGGAGATTCAGACTGCGTTTCAGGCCCCTGGCTTTGGCCTGGCCCAGCCCTGGCTGTTGTGGGCATGTGGGGAATAAACAAGCGGATGGACAATCTCTATCTCTGTCCTTTGTCTGACTTTTAAATAATAAAAATAATTATTATTACAAACTTTGTGGGAATGTTTTGCCTGTTACACACATATACACACACACCCCACTCGCTCAGCCCAGTGCAGGTAAAGAAAGCTCCTTTCAGATCTAAACCCCATCACCTGAAAGTCCAAGCCAGCCAGCCTCTGAGAGACCCCCAAGGCCGCTGGTTTCCTCCCTGCCTGAGATGCTCCAGCCCCACATACGCCAGCTCCTCGTGGCAGAGGGTGGGGGTGGCACCGAGTTCTATGGGAAAGGTGAGATAGCACCCAGCTGGGGAACAGGCAAAGGGTCAGGAGGAAGTGGACAGAACAGGCCACATGGGAGAGGCAGGCTATAGACAGGGGAGGAGGGAAGGGAGCAGGCAGAGGTGAAAGGGGTCAGAGACCCCCCGGGATTCCCGAAGGAGCAGTGTCACCACCACAGCACACGGGCGCCACGTTCCAGGCCGGCATCGCCAGGGCGGGCGCCACGTTCCAGGCCGGCATCGCCAGGGCACCAGTCCTTTATGTGCGCCATGGCCTAGCACAGCAAGGCCTGTCCCCTTCCCGCTGCTGGGGAGACCGAGTGCCATGTGGCAATTGGCAGGGTGAGAACCCAGACCCACACCTGCTACAGGACAAGGCCAGAGCCCAAAGGCAGAACCTGGCAGGTTCTGGAATGCAGGCGTCACAAAACCAGACCAAGATAAACCCATTCTTTGCTTCCTGATTGCAAAAGCAGGGCACTCTCTTCACAAAAACGTCAAAAGAGAGACGCCCCAGCGGCCTCACCCTTGGGAGGACCTGCTCCCACAGCTGCATGTCTGTTCAGTGGTGTTTCCTGTGCACACGGCTTTTGTAAAATTCAGGACTCTCCCAGACATACTATTGGCCTGTGCACCTTTCCCACCTCCAACACCCAGGGCTGGTCCTGAGCTGACCACTTAGCCTCTCTGAGCCTCATTCTCTGGATGGGCAGAGCAGAGACACTATGAGCCCTGTAGTGGCCAGGAAGACCGGAAGACGTGATGCAGGATATGTGCCAGGAACGGCATGTGGCCTGCGGCAGGGCACAGTACCTGTTTCCTGCCCCCACAGCCCCGCTCCACCCTGGAGCCAGACAACCCTTGGCCCTTATTCTCTGGCAGTCATCCCCTTGTGCAAGCCTGCTCCGCCTCTGGGAGGGAGGAACCTGGGCCCGCGCTGAGTCAGGAAACTGGGGCTGCCTGCCCAGATCAGTTGTAGCATGGAAAGTTTGGGGCCTCTGCCTGCCCATGCCAAGGAGAGTGGCATCCAACAGGAAGCAGAGAAACTTGCTCCACGCCTGGGTGAGGCCTGGCCTCACACCTGCCAGTGGCAGACCTGCATAATGTCATCAACACTTGGGGGTGCCTGGATACAGGAGCTCCTGGGGCTTGAACTGACCAGGAGCCATGTGCACCAGAAGAGCCCAGGCAATGATAAAGAGCCAGACTGCACCCTTCCCAGGACACACAGCAGCTGCAGAAACCAGGTGGCTGCGTGAGCTCCAGTTGCAGCCCCAGTGCTCCTGGCTCCTGGCTTTGGATCAGCTCAGCTCCGGCCATTGCAGCCATCTGGGGAATGAACCAGTGGATAGAAGACCTTTCTCTCCCTCTGCCTCTGTCTCTCTGTAACTTTGCCTTTCAAATAAATGGATAAATCTTAAAAAAAGTAAAGAAAAGAAAGGAAAAAAAAAAGTAAAAAGCTGGTATGTAGGGAAAGCAGCACTGAACCAGGCGTGAGGCCGTGGCTGAAATCTGCTTGCTGCTGCCCAGCCTCAGAGGAGCCTCTGGCCCTCTCTGGGACTCAATTCCTTATGTGGGGGGCAGGGGGCAAGGGAGGTGAGGGCTGTACCAGATGATTTTTTTAAAAAGATTTATTTATTTGAAAGGCACAGTTACAGAGAGGCAGAGGCAGAGAAGTCTTCCATATTCTGGTTCACTCCCAAAATGGCCACGATGGCCGGAGCTGGGCTGATTCACAGCCGGGAGCCAGGAGCTTCCTCTGGGTCTCCCACATGTGTACAGGGGCCCAGGGACTTGGGCCATCTTCTACAGCTTTCCCAGGCCATAGCAGAGAGTTGGATCAGAAGTGGAGCAGCCAGGACTTGAACTGGCGCCCCATATGGGATGTTGGCACTGCAGGTGGTAGCTTTACCCCCTACACCACAGCAGTGGCCCACCAGATGATTTTTTTTTGGGAAAGATTTATTTATTTATTTATTTGAAAGGCATGGTTACAGAGAAGCAGAGGCAGAGAGAGAGGTCTTCTACCCGCTGGTTCACTCCCCAGATGGCTGCAATGGCTGGAGCTGTACCGATCCGAAATCAGGAGCCAGGAGCTTTCTCCTGGTCTCCATGTGGGTGCAGAGGCCCAAGGACTTGGGCCATCTTCTTTCCCAGGCCATATCAGAAAGCTGGATTGGAAGTGGAGTAACAGGGACACGAACCTGCACCCATATGGAATGCCGGCCCTTCAGGTGGTGGCTTTACAAGCTATACCACAGTGCTGGCTCCCACCAGATAATCTTTGAGTCCCTTCCAATTCGAAAATGTTTGTAGTATCAAGGCACACATCAGTAGCCTTAAGCCTATCTTTTCATCTGCTCATTCTACTTCAAGAGATCATTCAAATTACAGGCAAAAGTTCATAGCTCTATTCGTCAAAATAATGAAAACACTGGAAGTCACTTAAATTTCCAGCTGTGTGGTAGTGGCTTGGAAGGTGACAGGGCATTCACTGAAGCAATGCTGTGTAGACGTCAACATGATGGGTATGAAGGCAACGCAGTAACCTGGGGAAGCGCTGATCACACTAACTCAGAAAAGACAACTGTAACAAGTGATCACAGCCAGAGAAACCGAAAAAAACCCTGCGAAGATGTTCAACTTCACAAGTAATCCAAGAGCTGCAAAATAGAACAAGATACTATTTTTAACCCCATCAGACTGCCAAAAACGAAAGAGAGATACTATGCAGGGTTGGCAAGAATGCACGGGAGAAGAGGGCCAAGTGTGGCACGGCAGGTTAAGCTGCCTCCTGCCAAGCTGGCATCCCATCCTGGAGTGCCGGTTTGAGTCCTGCCCGCTCTGCTGGGAAGGCGGAGGATGGCTCAAGTACTGATCCCTGTCATCCACACAGGAGACGTGGATGGAGTTCCAGGCTCCTGTCTTCAGCCTGGCCCAGACTTGGCTGCTGTGGCCATTTGGGGAGTGGACCAGCAGATGGAAGATCTGTCACTCTGCCTTTCAAATAAATAAGTAAATACATAAATAAATATAGTCTTAAAAAAAAGAAAAAAAAGAACACAAGAGAAAGGCATTCTGACACACCAGGCACAATTTTGTATATAGGGCTGCAGGGTCACGTTCACAATATTCAGCTCTTGGATCAGGAATTCCATTTATCTGATTTAATCCTACATGAATGTTCAAAAGGGTTGGGATATAGGCCAGCATAGTGGTGTAGTGGGTTAAACCACCGCATACAAAACCGGCATCTCATATGGGCACCAATTCGAGTCCCAGTTGTTCTACTTCCCATCCAGCTCCCTGCTAATGTGCCTGGGAAAGCAGCAGAGGATGGCCTAAGTACTTGGACTTCCAAACCCACGTGGGAGACCAGGAAGAAGCTCCTGGTTCCTGGCTTCAGCTTGACACAGCCCCGACCATTGCAGTCATTTGGGGAGTCAATCAGTGGATGGAAGACCTCTCTCTCTCTCCCTCTTTCTCTCTCTCTAACTCTGCCTTTCAAATAAATAAAATAAATCTTTTAAAAAAAAAGGGGGAACAGGGCCTTCGCTGTGGCAGAATAGGCTAAGCTTTTGCCTGTAGTGTCAACATTCCATATGAGCGCCGGTTCATGTCCTGGCTGCTCCTCTTCTGATCCAGCTCTCTGCTTATGGCCTGAGAAAGCAGTGGAAGACGGCCCAAATGCTTGGGCCCCTGCACCTGTGTGGGAGTCCCAGAAGAAGCTCCTGGCTCCTGGCTTTAGATCAGCTCAGCTCTGGCCGTTATGGCCACTTGGGGAGTAAGCCAGTGCATGGAATACCTCTCTCTGTGTCTTTCCCTCTCTCTGTCTGTAGCTCTACCTCTCAAATAAATAAATCTTTATTTTAAAAGTAAAGCATTAAAAAGAAAAAAGGGGGAGGGCTGGGATAGATATAGGAGAATCTTAAATCTTCAGTGCAATCTTTTAAGTATTTTTTAAAAAGATTTATTTATTTATTTGAAAGTCAGAGCTACACAGAGAGAGAAGGAAAGGCAGAGAAAGGTCTCCCATCCACTGGCTCACTCCCCAAGTGGCCATAACGGCCAGGCAGGGCTGATCTAAAGCCAGAAGCCAGGAGCTTTTTCTGGGTCTCTCATGTGGGTGTGCAGGGGCCCAAGGACTTGGGCAAACTTCTGCTTTCCCAGGCCACAGTAGAGAGCTGGATCGGAAGCGGAGCAGCCGGGACTCAAAGTGGCGCCCATATGAGATGTTGGCACTGCAAGCAGTGGCTTTACCTGCTATGCCACAGCGCCGGCCGCTTAAGTATTTGTTGTAAGAGTAAACAGTTTAAGGAATTTAAATGCTCATCAGTAAGTGATGAGTTAGTCCAAATCTTTACTTGCAACAGTAGGGGATTGCAAAATGAAACGAGAGCAGGCACAGGTACCCGCATGCGCACACATACAGGTCTCAAAGAATACACACTAAATTATTATGAATGCTTCCCCTGGGGGCGTCAAGAGATGCACTTTAACTCTTGCTTTATATATTTCACCAAGGTTATATTACTTAAGAAAAAAAATCTATGTACAGTAAAGTAGAGCAAATAATTCTTAGCGACAGCTGGCTTCGGGTCCTGTTTGTAAGTGGAGCCTTTTTCTCCTTTTCATTTGTTTATATCTCGTAGTCTCCTAAGTCAGCAAAAATCCTTTCTGAACAGGCAAAAACCTGCTATTAAATATCACACAGCATACAGTGAAGGAGTGAGGATCCAGATGCCCAGGCATCGAATCTGTCACCCAAGCCTCGGCTGTGTCATCTCCTGCGAGTTTACATCACTTCTTGGAGCTCAGTGTCTGCACCTCTGAACTGAGGTTGCTGTGAGGGCCACAGATGACAGAGAGCTGGCGCTGTGGCGCAACAGGTAAAGCCACGGCCTGCCATGTTGGCAACCCGAAGCACAGCACAGTTGTGAGTCCCTGCTGCTCCACTTCCAATCCAGCTTCCTGCCAATGCGCTTGGGAAGGCAGCAGAAGATGGCCCAAGTGCTTGGGCCTCTGCCACCCAATGTGGGAGACCCAAGGGAGTTCCTGGCTCCTGGCTTCAGCCTGGCCCAGCTCTGACCATCATGGCCATTTGGGGAGGGAACCAGTGGACAGAAGACCTCTGTCACTCTGTCAGAGAAATAAGTGAATCTTTGAAAAAAGGAGAGAGATGATGGCAGGTAGACATGTCTGGCAGCAGATCCTGTCCCCTGTAACCCAAGTAGATTGACCCAGGGAGCAGGCCTTGAGGAGGTGCAGGGTCGGCATTGGGGAACAGGCTCGGTCCCTGCCCGCCCAGGCCTCCTCCACAGCCGCGGATGCCCTGGCCTACCTTGCTGGGCTCTGCTTCGTCAGTCATGACCCCTGTCATGATGACGGCCTCATCCAGGGAGTAGAGCAGCCCTTCCACGAAGTGATTCTCCGGCCGCTGGGACTCGCGCGTGAACTTCTCACAGATGGCTTCCAGGCCCCGCACGGCCTGGAATCGAAGCTTGACATACTTCTTGGCAGGGATAATGCGGATCTCGGCAGCCACCAGGAAGCCCAGGGTCCCGCAGGACCAGGGCACGGCATAGAACAGGTCGGAGTTTTCTGACTGGAAGACAGAATAGACACATGCTCACAGTGTGAGCCCCCACCCCACATTGCGGCATGCAGTCAGGGGGGACAAGGGACCCAGTGCCTGGATGAAAGTCCTGCCTGCCACTCTCTGGTGTAGACGAGGGAACCAACCGTGACCCTGACAGCCTGTGCTTTTGGGCTTCGGATCCCCTCTGCAGTTTCTACGTGATGTCAGTCCCACACTGGCCTCTGTACCAGAGACGCTGGCCAGGAGGGCCTCTTCCCCCTCCCTCCTGGGCACAACCCCTGCACCAAAGGTGACCTGGGAGACAGTCATGACCAACACTGCCCCAAAACCCCAAATGGGCTCTAAGGGGCAGCGGTCCCAGGTCAGACTTAAAAAGAGCTCAACATTTACTAAGAGCCAGGGTAGCCAGAGGACATTCAAACGGCTCCTTTCTGAGCCATTAACAAAGTTTATAAAGCAGGTGTTTGCAGCACTGGGTAAGACACTGCTTGGATGCCTGCATCCCCATGGGAGAGCTTGGATTCAAGTCCCAGCTCTGCTTCTGATTCTAGCTTCCTGCTGAGAGGCAGCAGGTGATGGCTCAAATAGGTGAGTCCCTGGGAGGGGGAGGGGGAGGTTGTGGGAGATGGGGAGGGGGAGGGGGAGAGGGAGGCCCAGACTGAACTCCAGGCTCCTGGCTTCAGCCTGGCCCAGCCCCAGCTGTTGCAGGCATTTAGGAGTCAAAAGCATATGGAAGAACTATATGTCTCTGTATCTTTCCCTATCGTATAAATAAAAAGTTTTAAAAAATGTACAATCTTTTCTAGTTCGTTAGCTTGTGGGACTCCCCCTCCCCCACTCCAATACACACACACAGCCCAGAGTGAGCATTAACATCTCCCTTTGCCAGGTTAGGCAGTGAGTCTCCAAGAGGTGACACAATTACAATTCGTGCATGGCATTCCAGAAGCTGGGCTCAGGCCCCTCACCTGGCTCTGTAAATCTGTTTCTAACGCCAGCATTTTCTTATTCTGATGTTTGCCTTGGAGACAGGCAAGTGGCCATTCTACTTCCAATTCTTCCTCTCTAATAAACCTCCTTTTGAAAAAGCTGGGCCTCTTCTTATCTCCACCCAGACAACTGCCCTGTGTGGTCTCTGTCAGCCAGCTCCGAACAAACGTCCTTGGTGTAGGCACGGTGGGGCATGGTGGGCATGGCATGGGAGAGGAGTCACAGCAGGGAAGCTCTGCCTCAGGTGCAGATGGCTGTGAGACAGCAGGGCTGGGCTGCTGGCTGGCCACACTGTCAGGTCCCGGCAGTCACTGCTAGGCCCCTACCCCAGGCGTGGCTCCATGCACCTGCTTGCTTTTCCTGTCTACATATGGGTCACATCTGGCCCTCAGAGAAAGGGGACCATTCACACACTTGTTTCCATTCTCTGTTGGGAGGTAAGACCCAAGCAAGTGAAGGGCAACGTGTGAGGTGGTGTGGCTCCTAACAGGGCTATCACTCAGCCAAGGCCAGAGTTCTTAAGCCAGCAGTCCTTCTCTGCGCTCTCTCCAGTGAGGCTGATAACGCCAGCGTTCTCTGAAATATCCACTCGTGAAGGCCGGGTCTGTCCCTCCCATCCGAGGGCCCCTTACCCACACTACTACACGCCTGAGGTTATTTAAAGTTTTAATCCTGTCCACTCCTTAGCTGAACGTCTCAAATGGCTGTGTCCCCTTGGCGTGTCAGAACTCTGTTCTGTTTTTCCAGGACAGTCCTGCCATCACTTTCGGTTGCATCTCTCAGCATCAGATGCAGAGCGGTTGTGCTGAGACCTGATGTCCGCCAGAGAGGTGGCCTGGGCAGGGTTCAGGGAATCTGATTACCTGCATGTGTATCCCAGCACGGAGGGATTTATGAGCTGGGTGACCTAGGACAAGTTTATTAACTTCTCTGTTCTTTAGCTTCCTATCTGTAAAACGGGAATAATAACAGCATCTGCCTCCCAAGGTTTGCTGAAGGATTAACTACATCAATATATATCAAGCACAATAGCATCAACACACTTGTGGTTGCGAGGGAGTACATATGTTTTTGTTACTGTTACAGACTGAAAAACTCAGACTGAACAGGTGTATTTGAAACCCAGCACCCCCTCACTGCCCCCAGGATGCCCCATCCTTGACTCACCGGTGTGCACCGCACAAAGCTGCCGTCAGCAAGGACCAGCTCGTAGGCAGTGCAGATGTGCTGGAACAGGCCGTACTTGTGGGACGAGGACTCGATGCCTGTGCCCATGATCAAGCCCCCTGCAGAGATACATCCGTTAGTGGGGGAGTTGTGAGGTGGAGGGTGGGGGTGGCTTGGAGCTGGGGGACCCTCGGGACAAGGGGCAGGGGCAGAAGGGCTGGCAGTCAGGGGTATGATTGGCTTGGGATCAGTTCCCTATCTCTGCCTACATAGAGTGCAAGACCAAGCAGAAGGGTGGAGCTCGGAGCATGAGGGCTCCCCTAGAGGCAGGGGATGGACAGGCAGACCCTCACCCTGGCCAGTCTCAACCTGGGAACCTGTCATTTTAAGAGGGACTTCCGCAGAAATGGGGTCTGCTGGGGGCGGCAGGAAGCCATGGTCCACGGTAATGGTTAAGAGGACAGAAGCTGCTTCCCACGGAGAAAAGGTGTGGCCAGGGAGCCTATGGGAGGAAGAGACCAGACTCTGTAGGTAGGAGGAGCAGGATAGGAGGGGAGCAATGGGTACGCACTGCAGGGCAGCAGACTCGAGCCAGAAATGACAAAGTGCGCTCAGAAACCGAGCAGCAGGCAGTGAATGCCCGTCACCGGAGCTACCCAAGTAAGGGACAGAGCGACGTCCATCACAGACAGAAGACTGGCCACGCTGGACCCGACGGAAGGTGGCTAAGATCCCTCAGCTCTGAGCGTGGGCTCACCTGCCTCCTCCTGCCCACGGACAGGGAGTCCTTACCCACTGTGAGGTCATCGAGCTCGGGCAGCACGGGCAAAGTCCAGCCAATGGAGTTCAGCAGGGCAGTCACCTGGCCCATGGTCACCAAGGGCTCCACACGGACAATCTGTGGGTATAAGAGACCCCCAGGTCACAAGGAGGCTGCCAGGGCCAGCTGGGACTCCTATGTACAGAAAGCGTCCTCTCAAACTACCACCCTCCCCCTCCCCAGCCCACCCCCCCAACCTCTCCCCTCAAACTACCACCCCTCCCCCTCCCCAACTTCACTCCCTCCCCAACTTCCCCCTCTCAAACTACCACCCCTCCCCCTCCTTTAGGGCCCTTATGGGCTCTTTCCAGAACATTCTTGCCTTTAACAACAGCCAATGTGATTTCTGGCTCTGAGCTAGCCCATATTTAAACTCACCCTTTTGAGTATTTTTAAAATTACATTTCTAAGGGCCAGCATTGTAGCTTGGTAGGTAAAACTGCCTACAGTGCCAGCATCCCATATGGACACCAGTTTGAGTCCCGGCTGCTCCACTTCTGATCTACCTCTCTGCCACAGCCTGGGAAAGCAGCAGAAGATGACCCAAGTGCTTGGGCCCCTGCACCCATGTGGGAGACCTGGAAGAAGCTCCTGGCTCCTGGCTTCGGATCAGCACGCTCAGGCCATTGAGGCCAACTGAGGAGTGAACCAGCGGATGGAAGACCTCTCTCTTTCTGCCTCTGCCTTTCAAATAAAAATAAATAAATCTCAAAAAACAAACAAACAAACAAAAACAAAAAAACCTACATTTCTACTTACTTATTTTCATTTTATTTTAAAAGCAGAGAGAGAAGCAAGTACTTGAGCCATCATCTGCCACCTCCCTGGGTGCACACCAGTAGGAAGTCAGATTGGAAGCAGAGGAGCCGAAACTCAAACCCATCACTCCATCAGAGGATGGGGGTGTCCCAGATGTGACCTAACACTGCTGTGCCAATGCTCACCCCATCCTTTCAAATGCCTTAACTATTGATACTTAGTTTGTTTTTTTACAGATTATAGCAAAATTCTCATTCATTTGGGAGGTAACACAAAAATGAAGAAAACAGAAACTATACACTCTAGCTCTTTAGAGTTTCTAATAGAATATATTCACTTCCCCCCCATACACATCTGTATCAGTATTTTGTGTTTTTTTTTTTTTTAAATTTAACTTTCTTCTTTGAAAAAGTTATAGAGAGAGAAGGAGAGACAGAGATAGAGAGAGATCTTCCATCTACTGGTTCACTCCCCAAATGGCCACAACAGCCAAGGCTAGGCTAGGCCAAAGCTGAGCCCAAGCTTCCTCCAGGTCTCCCACAAGGGTACAGGGGCCCAAGCACTTGGGCCATCTTCCACTGCTTTCTCAGGTACATTAGCAGGGAGCTGGATCAAAAGTGGAGCAATGGGAACTCGAATCAGCACTCATATGGGATGCTGGCATTGCAGGTGGTGGCTTAACCTGCTCACCCACAGCACCAGCCCCAGTACAAATATTTTTTAACAATGAAAAGAAAACAGTATAATAGCACTTGGGGCTCACACAAATCAGGAAACAGTGTCTGTTCTCAGAAGCCAGACAAGAAAACCTCACCATTCACATGGCTCTGGGTAGAGTACTCAGAAGGGTCCCGGCCCAGCAGGGGGAATAATTAACCCTAGATTACAAGCTGAAAAAAAAAATCAAGACCCCACAGGATCAAACTGCTTCCAAGTAATCTAGCTGATTCCTAGAACATGGTTCAAGATTTACAGGAAAGCAAAAATGTCTGGCACCCAACAAGTGAAATATCACAATATCATAAAATCAGAATCCAGTCAAAATCTTAAGGAAATTCGACCCATACGAGGGAGAATAATCAGTCAGGCACAACAGACCCAGACCTGACCCAGACCTGACTTAGCAAGTGGGAATATGCAAACAGTTATTACTGAATTCTCGCTATGCAAACAGTTCTTACTGTATTCTTGCCATCAAAAACACTGGAAAGATATGAAGAAGACCCAAACTCCTAGAAATGAAACCCACAACAACGGAAATGAAAGATCCACGAGATGGGACTAGTGGCAAATGTGGTCTTACAGCAGAAAAGATCAGTGAACTTGGACACAGGATCAGAACTATCTAAACCGGGAAAAAAAAAAGCTTAGAAAGTGAACACAGAGCAGCATCATGAACTGAACTGTGGAATAACCTGAAGTGGCTTCCTCTGCACGTACCAGCGGTCTCCCAAGGAGATGAGAGAAAAGCTAGAGAGGGCAGAAAAAAAATTTGAAGACATAATTGCCCAAAAAATCCAGGTTTGATGAAAATTTATAACAAATCCAAACATGAGTTATGAGGAAAACTATACCAAGGCACTTCATAACAAAATTACTCAAAATCAGTGCTAAATTTTTTTTTGGAAAATCTTAAAAGCATGAAGAGAAAAAGACTGTTACATATAGAGGAACAAAGGTAATACTTTTTTTTTGTCTGAAATAATGCAGGCAAAAAGACAGAGTAGTACCTTCTTTAAAGTATTGAAAGAAAATATTTGAAAACCTGGGATTTTATACATATATATATATACACACACATAAGTTTTATATATATACATATATATATATATATATATGCGCAAGAAATGGGGTAGATGTTTGGCTGAGCAGCTAAGCCGCCAGTTAGAATGCCCTAATGCCATGCTGGAGTGCCTGGCCAAGTCCCAGCTGAACTCCTATTCCAGCTTCCTACTGATATGCAGGCCGAGAGGCAGCCCAAGTACTTGAGTCCCTGCCACCCATGTGGGAGACCTGGATGGCGTTCTGGGCTCCTGGCTTTGGCCTGGCCCAGCCCTAGCTGTTGTGGGCATTCAGGAAAGGAGGCAGCAGATGGGAAGTCCGTCTGTATGTCTCTCTCTTATTCTCCCCTCTACCTGTTCAATACAATACAATACAGATCAATTTCTTAAATTAATACAAAAAATGTTAGAGGTCCTTGAAGAAGAAATAAAACAAAACTGGATAGAAATACAATTTTATATAGTGGGATGGAGGATGGTAAGTGCATGTATAAATATATAACATCCTTTTCTTATTACTTACATTCCTTTAAGAGACAACTGACCATTAAAAATAATGAAAATAATATGGTATGGCATGTATAATATATGTAAAAGTAGAAATATGACAACAATAGCACAAAGATTGGGAGGAGAGAAATGGAAATAAATTATTCTAAGATTCTTACATGCTATGTAAAATGAGATGATGTCACTTGAAGGTCTATTGTGATAAGTAAAGTATATGTATTCTAGGGGCTGGCATCACAGCATAGTGGGTAAAGCTGCCTGCAGTGCTGGCATCCCATACAGGTGCTGGTTCAAGTCCCAGATGCTCTACTTCTGATCCAGCTCCCTGCTAATGCACCTGAGAAAGCTACAGAAGATGGACCAAGTCCTTGGGCCCCTGCACCCATGTGGGAGACCTGGAGGAAGCACCTGGCTTCGGATCAGCCCAGCTCTGGCCATTGTGGCCATTTGGAGAATGAACCAGAGGAAGGAAGATCTCTCTCTCTCTGTCTCTCTTTCCCTCTCTCTCTCTGTAATTCTGCCTTTCAAATAAATACATTTTTCTTAAAAAAAGTGTATGTACTCTAAATTTGATGCAACTGCTAAAATCACAAAGACCAATAACCAACAAAGGAACTAAAACTGAATTATAAAAATTATTCAGTAATCCAAAAGTAGACCAAAATAAAAAAATTAAAAAAAAAAAGGAGAAAAAAAGAGAAGAACAAATAGATAACAGCAATGTAAAAGATTTAAACCAAATCTTAACAATAACATTAACTGTAAATGGTCTTACCACCTCAATTAAAAGGCAGAGGTTGTCAAATTGGATGAACAAAGCAACATCCAACTACATGCTGTCTACCAGAGAAGCACACCTTTATAAAGACATATTAGGTGAAGAGCAACTGGGAAAACATATACCATGCCACCACTACTCATGACAATCCCGAGGGGGCTTTATGAATGTCTAACAAAGTAGCTTTCAGAAGCAAGAATCCAGCTTGGGGGGGGGGGGGCGCAGCACTATGCCATAGTAGGTTAAACCCTCACCTGTGGCACTGGCATCTCTCTCTCTGTCTCTCCCTCTCTCTATAACTCTGCCTCTTGAATAAATAAATAAATCTTTTTTTAAAGATTTATTTTATTTACTTGAAAGAGTTAGAGAGAGGGAGAGACAGAGAGTCCAGGAGCCAGGAACTTTTTTCAGGTCTCCCACATGGGTGCAAGGACCCAAGGACTTGGGCCATCCTCTACTGCTTTCCCAGGCACACCAGCAGGGAGCTGGATCAGAAATGGAGCAGCCAGGACTCAAACCAGCTCCCATATGGGATGCCAGTGCTGCGGGCCAGGGCGTTAACCTGCTGTGCCAAAGCATAGCCCCAATAAAAATACGACTGGGGATTGAAAAAAAAGATCATTTCATAATGATAAAGGCACCAATTGTTCAAAATGACACGAAAGTCTTCAACATCGCTACACCTAGTAACAGAGCTCTGAAATGCAGGGAGCAAAAACTGGTGAACCTCCCAGAGAAATAAACAGTCCACAACTCTCCTAAAAGTTGACAGAAAAAGCAAAGAGGATTTGCGTAAAAATATAGAAACTTTGAACACCACCATTAAGAAATCTGACCTAACTGACATTAACACGCTACCTCTAAACAGTAGCATGTATTTTTTTTTTTTAATGCACATAGACTATTTACCAAGACAGAGCATACTCTGGGCCATGAAGTCTCAAACAGTTGAAACGCATCCTAATCATATGTTCTCTGACAGTTAAATTGAATTAAATCAGAAATCAGCAACAGAAAGATCCTTAGAGAATTCTCAAGTATTTGTCAAACTAAGCAACATACTTCTAAATACTCCACAGGTCAAAGCAGATATCAAGAGGAAAATTAGAAGTATTTTGAACTGAATGAAATTTTGAAATTTGTGGGCTGCCCCAAAACAGGCATAAAGGGAAATTTATGGTACTAAATATCAATATTAGAGAAAAAAGTCTAAATCAATGATACCAGCCTTAACCTTAAATAAGTAGAAAAAGAATAAAATTAAACCTAAAGAAAAGAGGAAATATCAAAGCAGAAATCAATGAGATAGGAAACAAAACAGAACAAAACGACAAGAGAGAAAGCAATGAAATCAAAAGCTTTGAAGCCAGACTGATCAAGACGGCAATCTTACATCAAGAACCAGGGGCTGTTAATGTTAAAAGGATCATAAACAACTTTATGTCAATAAATTACAGAACGTAGTGAAATGGACACAACCTACCAAAGCTCACCCAAGAAGCAATAAATAAAACTGAAGAGTGCTTATCTACTAGAGAAATCGAATTTGTAGCTAAAAGTCTCAGAGCAAACTCCAAGCCCAGATGGCTTCACTTTACGGGGTCTGCAAAGCTTTTAATGGAAAACCTGAGCTCTCAGTGTTCTACTGGGATGCACACCTGGCCTGTCAGGTGTATTTTTCTTTCTTTCCTTTTTTTTTTTTTTTTTTTTTTGACAGGCAAGTTAGACAGTGAGAGAGAGAGAGAGAAAGGTCTTCCTTTTCTGTTGGTTCACCCCCTAAATGGCCACTACGGCCGGTGCGCTGCACCGCGCCAATCCAAAGCCAGGAGCCAGGTGCTTCCTCCTGGTCTCCCATGGGGTGCAGGGCCCAAGCACTTGGGCCATCTTCCACTGCACTCCTGGGCCACAGCAGAGAGCTGGACTGGAAGAGGAGCAACCGGGACAGAATCCGGCACCCAACTGGGACTAGAACCTGGGGTGCTGGCGCCGCAGGCGGAGGATTAGCCAAGTGAGCAGTGGCGCCGGCCCATGGTGTATTCTCTTTGTCAAACTTCACTAGCATGTTTACCGACAAGACAGAAACAACAACAAAACTCCGTGACACTGGGTTAGGTAGAGATTTCTTAAGCAGGACTTAAAAAAAGTAAAATCTACAAAAAGAAATGAACAAATTGGACTTTATTAAAGTTAAAAACTTTTGGTTTTCAAAGGACAAGCCACAGGGCTGGCATTGTGGCATAGTGGGTTAAGCTGCTGCGTGTGACACTGGCATTCCATATGGGTGCTAGTTCTAGTACTGGCTGCTCTACTTCCAGTCCAGCTCCCTGCTAATGCACCTGGGAAATCAGCAGAGGACAGGTCAAGTACTTGAGCCCCAGCACCCATGTGGGAGACTTGGAAGAAGCTCTTGGCTCCTGGCTTCTGCCTGGCCCTGCCCTGACCATTGTGGCCATCTGGGGAGTGAACCAACGATCAAAGAGCTCGCTCTCTGTCTCTCCTTCTCCCTCTCTCCTTATAACTTTGACTTTCAAATAAATAAATAAATAAATCTTAAAAAAAAAGAATGACAAGCCACAAACTGGGAGAAAATATTGGAAATATTTGCAAATCAACTACTGAATGAAGAATTTGTTTCCATTTTTCTTTAAATGGCAAAAAACCTGAACAGGCCTCATCAAAGGTATACAAGTGACAAATATGCCCACAAAAAGATGTCCAACATCATTAGTCCTTGGAGAAATACAAACTGAAACCACCCCTATGAAAGTGACTAATCATGTCAAGTTCATGACAAAATGGAACAACTGAAACACTCACACTGCTGGTGGGAATGTAAAATGCTACAACCTCTTTGGACCACAACTTAGCACTTCCATAAAAAGTTAAATATACACCTACCATACGATCCTGCCATTCCACTGGTAGGTGTGTATCCAAGAAAATAACTGTATGCCCATACGAAGGCTGTACACCAATGTTCCCCACCACCTTTACCTGTATTAGCCCCAAACTGCCAATAGCCCAAATGTCTATCAGCAGGTGCATCAGCAGGTGCATGGATATACACATAGTAATATCCACAGGATATTAGGCAAACAGGCAAACAGGATGTTCCATAGATACACATTTCAATAAATCCCCAAGTAACCAATGGAGTTGAAAAGGCTAAACAAAAACGAAGGACATACTGTACAATTCCATGTTTGGAAAACTGAATACAAACTAACTCACAGTGACAGGAAGCAGATCACTGCTGGCCTCAAGATGTGGGGGGAGGAAACAAGGGGGGTTTGAGGAGGGATTACGAGAGGCATGAAGACACTTTTTGGGGTGAGGGGTATGTTCACCGTAATGACAGTGGAAATGGCTTCACAGAGGTATGTTACAGATTACCTGATGGCACACTTTAAATACGTGCTGTTGGTCATCTGCCAAGGATACATCTATAAAGCTAGTTTTTTAAAAAAAAGGATTTATTTATTTTTATTAGAAAGGCAGAGTTAGAGAGGACGGGAAGGAGGGAGGGAAGGAGGGAGAGAGAGATCACCCATCCACTGGTTCACTCCCTAAATGGCCACAATAGCCGGAACTGGGCCAGACTGAGGAGCCAGGAGCTTCTTCCAGGTCTCCATGTGGGCGCAGGGGCTCAAGGACTTGGGATATCATTCCCTGTTTTCCCAGGTGCATCAGCCAGGAATTGGATTGGAAATGGAGCAACCAGGACTCGAACTGGCACCCATATGGGATGCTGGCACTGCAGGGAGAGGCTTTATCCCTGACACCACAGTGCTGGCCTCCATAAAGCTATTTGAACAAAGGTACAAAGAGGTACAGCAGTTAAGACACCACTTGGGACACCTGCATCCCATATCAGAGTGCATGGGTTCAAGTACTAGCTCTGCCCTCCATTGCAGCTTCCTGCTAATGCACACCCTGGGAGGCAGCAGGTGATGTGAGTCCCTGCTACCTACATGAGAGACCCAGACTGAGTTCCCAACTCCTGGCTTCAGCTTGGCCCAGCCCTGGCTAATGAGGGCATTTGGGGATGGGAGATCTCTTCTGTCTATGCCTCCCCTTCTCTTTCTTTCTCTGTGTGTGTGTGTGTGTGTGTATCTGTGTTTGTGTTTCTTTCAAATAAGATAAAATAAATAATTTTTTCAAAAAGGTAGAGAAATTAAATAACAGCCAAGGTCTCACATAACAGCCTGTCATCAAGAAGATACACGAGTAATGACCCCTATATTATTGAACACTGTCTTCAATTAGAAACAAAGCTGTGATAGACCTCCTTCTGCTGGGCAGCTGTAATTACACGTAAGCTTATGTCCTTAAGCTAGGTTTTAAGAGGCAGAATTACCAGATGGGCTGAAGAGTGTACATTTCTAAGGCTCTTAAACAAGCAGATCTCCAGGGAGCTTGTACCAAATTCCTTGCCTCCCAGCCACCTTCAAAGGCCATTTTTTAATCAGTTGACTGCCTTGCTGGGAAGAGACAAATAGCTTCCTTTATGTCTCTTGGTTTTGTCTGGGATGTCCCCATCCCTGACTTCCTGTGGGATTCTAGACAATCAGAAGATCCCCCCGAGCTCTCAGTTTGCCTGCCTGAGAGATGGGGCCATGACCAGTCTCTCCCCTGGTGGTGATGAGGCTTGGGAGCACAGCAATGGTGGGTCCAGCCTTCTCTGATGACCCTGGCCTTGTTCCTGTCCCTGCTGAGTGCTCTGCTCCTAAAGCCGTTCTCACCTGTTTCTTGGTGTCCACCTCCAGGATGTCCATCAGGTTGATCATGATGTTTTTGTGCGTCTTCTTGTACTTCCCAACCCGCAGCGAGACAGTGAGCCAGCCGGGGCGGCCTGTGCACATGAAGGTCTTGCTGCCCTGCTCCTTCCATTCCCGCACCTGCAACCGTGAAACAGAGGCTGAGCAGGTCCCGCTGGGGTCCCCGGAGCAGCAGGCAGCCCTGCTCTCAGGGAGAGGGGACTAGGAAAGGGCTCTCCTTCCAAGCTCTGGAGAAGCCAACATGTTGTTAACAACACAAGGCAAAGCAAAGAGAGAGCTAAACACAAGATCAAGATCAACGTGTTTTGAAAATAGTCATTGGGAATTTCAGCAAAAGTTTTATAATGGTAATAGGAGCAATTATAAAAATGAACACATTTTTCTGGGCGTTCCCACTGTTGTAGGCACCCATGGTACACTGTCTTAACTCTCACATCAACCCCAGGAGGTTACATGATCCCTTTCGGCAGGTGGGGAAACTCAGAGGCAAATAACTTGGCCACGGCCACACAACAGCGGAGCTCAGGTTCACAGCCAGGACGTCTGACCGCAGGCCTAGAGGAACAGATGGGCTTGTAGTGATGGTACACAGAATAATAGCTCACACTTACGGAGGCTTCTATTCTGCCCACTACCCCATGTTAGCTCTTGTTATCACTTTGAAGGGGAGGAGAAAGGGCAGGGAGAGATTGTCACGCCCACGGGGAGAAGAGTGTCCAGGGGGCCAGCACTGTGGCCAAGTGGGTAAAGCTGCCGCCTACAGTGCCAGCATCCCATATGGATGCTGATTCTTGTCCCAGCTGCTCCACTTCCAATCCAGTTCGCTGCTAATGCACCTGGGAAAGCAGCAGAGGATAGCCCAAGTATTTGGGTCCCTGCACCCTTGTAGGAGACCCAGATGAAGCTCCTGCCTCCTGGCTTCGGCCTGGCCCAGCCCTGGCTGTTGCAGCCATCTGGGGAGTAAACCAGTAGATGGAGGATTGCTCTCTTCGTCTCTTTGCCTCTCCCTCTCTCTCAGTAACTCTGCCTTTCAAATAAATAAAACAAATCTTAAAAAAAAAACTATATATATATATATATATATATATATATATATATATATAAGAAGGGGGCCAGCACTGTGGCATAGAAGGTAAAGCAGCCACCTATAGTGCTGGCCGGTTGGAGTCCCAGCTGCTCTACTTCCATCCAGCTTCCTGCCAATGTGCCTGGGAAAACAGTGAAAGATGGGTCCCTGCACCCACGTGGTAGTCCCAGATGAAGCTCCTGGCTTCGGCCTGGCCCAGCCCTGACCATTGCAGCCATTTGGGGAATGAACCAGTAGAATGAAGATCTCTATTTCTCTTTTTCTGCCTCTCCCTCTCTTTCTCTGAAACTCTGACTTTGGAATGAATAAATAAATCTTTTTTTTTTTTTAAAGAGCTTCTGCAAGGCCTCTCCTGTGAGTGACCAGGACAGAGGACAATGGCCCAGGGAGATGACAAGCCCAGTAGGAACACAGAAGGAAGTAGTCCTTTCCTGCTGGGATGCACAGGGTGCGGGACATGGCTATCTGTTGTTCTGACCTGTGAACCTTCATTTCCGCTTCATCTGATTCCCACAATCTCATCTTCCTCTGATCCAGGTGAGACTGACGCCATTCCCCCTGCCCAGGAGGTCACACGACTAGAGTCATCCTCTCCCTCTGGTCACAGTGACAGGGTCACTGATGGGCCTCTGATGCAGTCAGGCCAATGAGACTGGTTCCAGAAGAAGCTATCTCTTTCTATTGGGGCTGCTAAGCTGCCTGGATATAAGCCAAAAACCGTTAGGGCCTCTGCAGGGAGACAGCCCCCTGAGAATGAAGTTGACCCAAAGGAAAGCAGAGGCAGGGGATAGTTATTGGATGGACAGAGGTGCAGATTAGGGGGAGGGGATCCTGAATCCAGCCATGCCCGAGCCAGCTTCACTCCTGGACTTTTCAGGACCTGAGTCGATAAAGCCCCTTTCTGTGCAAGTCAGCGTGAATTGAGTTTCCATTATTTGCAACCCAGAGTCCTGTCAACTACTGGCCAGGCTGCCTGAAGGAGGTGGCACTTTAGCTGGTCAGGCAAACGGCCCCACGTGGAGAAGGGCTATTCCCTGGTCAGAGGCCACATGGGGCAGAGCTATTCAAGCCGGGGGTGGGGTGCTGAGGGAGGGATTCCATGACGGATACGGCCTCACCTCGCTCAGCTCTGCAGTCTAGGTCTTAATGTGAGCCCAGGGCATGAGGGAGGGGAGTAGGGGTCCAGGCTCAATCTGCAGAGTGGGCCACAGGAGATGAACATGGAAGCCACACAGTCTAGAGTGCTGCTCAATTCTGATGGGAGTCAATCAAGAGTTTGGGCAGGGAGGCCATGCCATGAAAAACCACTCCTGGGGCTATGCACAGGCCTGAAAGGTGGGATGTCTGGGAGGGGTAATGGTGTAGAAAGAGGGCAACTGGGTAAGCCCCGATCCAGGCAGCTGTCGCAACAAGCCAGGCAAGAGGCCACAGAATCAGATGCACGGGCTGGAATGGAAAGGATGGGAGAGAAGAATGTCAAGAGGTCAGGCTCTGGAATCAAGCGGACGGAGCTCCAGTCCAGTTTATTAGCTACATCATCCTGGGTGCACGACTGCCCGCGCAAACCTAAGTTTTCCCATTGTAGAACAGGTATAACACCTACCAGGGTTGCTGTAAGAATTACAAATAATGGACATCAAGGGCACATGGCAGACCCAGGGCAGTGGCTGACCAGGCCAGCCCGTCCTGCTGAGTCCTTCAGTTTAGCTGAATAAACATTCACCAGGCTCCTTTGTGCCAAGCCTCATGGACCAGAGGTGAATCAGATAACAGCCTTTGGCCCGTCAGGCGCTCAGGATCTGATAAGGAGACGAGCAGGTCCGTGGATAATCTCGGCTTGTGGAAGGAGCTCAGGAAGAGGATGAGCGTGGGGAGGGCGGGTGGACAGAGCCCTGCAGCGGGACTACAGTCACCCGGAGCCAGGGCCAGATGCCGCATTCTGCCCCCAGAGCGAGCCCAGGCCCAGCTGACGGGAGACGGCAGACGCATCTCTGTCCCCAGCTCTGCACTCCGGCCGGCTGCACCCGCACCAGCACCAGCACACAGAATATGGAGGCTGCCCTGCCTGCTACACCTACAGCGAGGACGCTGGCGGCAGGAAACAGAAGCTCTCTGCAACCTGATGCCAGGAAGACAGGAACATAAGGAGGGGCAGAGGGAGCCAGGAAACTGCCGGGGCCAGACACCTCTGCCAGCCCGGGGCCTGGAGGGGGCTGCTGGGAGGCGCAGCAGGGTAACAGTTTCTGTGGGAGCTGGGAGACGCGGAGCAATGGGGGAAGTCCACCAGTCACCACAGGCTCTTCTTCACTGGGGCCTGGGGCCTGGCCTCTCCCTCCCCGCTTCAGTCCCCTGCTCCGAAAGCCTGGAAGCAAGCAAACTGCAAACTCCAACCCGGCTCCAAACTGACTTTCCAACCTTCTTCCCCTTCCCCCTTCCCTGCTCGGCTCTCCCCGGGTCCCTCCACCTGACACACCTTTCCCCAGGCATCTCCCCCACTTCCGGGCTCCACCTCCCGGAAGCCTTTCCTCCTCAGAAATCCTGGATCTGGAGAGAGTTAGTTGGGTGCTGTGTTCCCTTCCCCTCTCTCTCTCCGTCCCTCCAGGTCCCCGCTCACGTCCTGCACACAGCGGGCAGTCCATAAAGATGGGGACAACGCCTGTGCCTTTTCTGGCCCCCATCACACGTTCGCCCCCATCCCCTCCAGCGCCAGCTCCCCCGTGAGGTTCTGGCTGCGCCGCGCAAGCACACCGCACACCACACACGCGGTGCCGCCTCGCCGACCGCTAGGCACGCGCACGCCGGCGCCCAGGGCGCGCGGCTCACCTGCTTCTGGATGTCCCGCACGCGCTGCTCGTGCAGGCGCGGCGCGCTGCTGAGCTTGAACACCACCCAGGCGCGCACGTAGTAGTAAATGTCGAAGATGAGCGACAGCGGCAGTAAGAAGAGGCACACGAACACCCAGCGCTGGTGGATGAGCACGAACTCCAGCCCCTTCACGCGCACCCACAGCAGGAAGAGCAGCGCGCACACGGCCAGAGACACGGCGGGCTCCATGGTGCAGCGGCGCGCCGCGCGGGGAGGGTTGCAGCTCGCGCCGCCTGTCACCGCCGCCCGCTCCGCGCCCGCCGTGCGCCGCGCAGGGAGCCGCCGGGTCGCCCGCCGCCTCGCGATTGGCTTGGGTCGCCAAGGTTCGGTGGGCCGAGACCCGGGCGGTGGCCAATGGCGAGCCGCGCCGGGGATCGGACCAGGAACCCACTGCTTTCATTGGCTGCGAGTGTCGAGTCGCTCCGCCCCTTTCTCCTGGCCGACTCGCGAGGCGGGGGTGGCCGGGGTCCGGGGTGCCGTTGGGGTCAGTTGCGCGCGGCTGGGCCTCGGGGAACCCGCGCGCAGGCGGCGGGAACTCGGGCTGCCCGGCCTCGGACCTGCGGGGGCGCCTTTCTCTTCTCCTCAGGCGGCGCCTCCTGGACTCGGGCGTGGAGCCGTCATGCGTCGGGTTACCTCCCAGGGTGGGCGGCCGCTCCAGGCCCTGAGGCAGGCAGCCGGGCGGGAGATGTCGCTAGGTGCGCGCCAGGCACGAGGGGGCGGCTTTGCCTGTTTGAGGAGTGCCTTTGAGCTGCACAGCAGTAGTGGGTGGTGGGTTTGGGGGACCCATTTTAAGCAAAGATATTAAAGCGTTTGCGGCACGGAAGCTGTGACTGACCCTGGGCCGGCTGAGGGCGGTGGCATGGCCTGAGGGAAGGCCGAGGTGCCTGCCGGCCACTCTGACCCCCCCCCCACCCAGGACCACGGCAGCTTTGTGGACAAAGCAGATGGCCCTGCCCGCTTGGCAGCAAGCAGTCTAGATAGGCGAGGGCCCCAGTTGCAGCTGAGGGAGCAGCGTCATTTACATTTCCTGAGAAATTTTAGGAAGTTTCCCAGTAGTTTAATTGTAGAAGTTGAGCTCTGGCCCTGTTTACCTTGCCGGTTCTCTCCTTGTTCACCTTCGCCCTGATGGGCACCCGTAGGAGGTTCCCTGGGCTCCTCCGCCCCTGGTTTCAGGACCTTCCCCGGCCGCTTAGATCTAACATTACTTATCCTGGAGGGCTGCTCAGGGCCACCTCGAATACTGCCCTTCAGAGACCTCCCTCCCCCTCGGGTAGCTCTTGAAACCAGGCATCTATGGCGCGGTTCTTTCACGTTGTTTTACAGTTGTCTCCTTCTGAGTCTCAGCCCCACAGGCAGGGTGAGGTTGAGTGACCTGGTGTTCACGGTTGTATCTCGAGCCCTAGCACAGGGCTTGGAGTGCTGTAGACATGCCAGTGTTTGTTGATCCATGGATGAGTGTAGGCAGAGGCCCAAACGCCCAGTAGCAAAGTCCAAAGAATGAGAGGCTGTTTGCATTGGGCTCAACAAGGAATCATCTAGGTCCATACCATCTTACACAGCAGCTGCTGGTGGTCCCTGGTATGTGGCTAGCCTTTGGGCTAGTCTCATTTGGATGAGACTTCCCTGCCTTGAGAAATGGATTGCAAGGAGTTAGTATGAAAAAGCAAATGCAGAGTAGCTCATGAATAATATTCATTTAATGTTGAAATGACAATATTTTGATATATTGAATTAAATAAGTATGTATAGTAATAATTTTACCTGCTTCAGTTACATTTTCAAAGCCACTGCTAGAGAATGTACAGTTGCAAATTGCCTTTGCCTTATCTCTGTGGGAGCTCCAGGCGAGAGGGGGCTGCCGAAGTCTAAAGAGGAGAGCCCGTGTGGAAAAGGCCTGTCCTGGGGCCAGGCCGCGCTCAGATGTTGCAGCTGAGAGGCTTTGCTCTCAGAAGCTTCACCGTCTGAGTATTTCTGGCGAATGAGGTCATTGAAAAAGTCAAGTTCAACCTGAAAGTTAATGGAAGAATTGAGTATCTTGCAGGAGAAATGATGGAAATTATTGGCTAATTAGAATAGCTGATCATTAACCAGTGATAGTTAATTACTGGTTAATTAGAATAGTTTTACACCTAGGAAGAGACGGAAGTCCTCCCAAATTGGATAAAGCTGATTTTTCGGAAATGACTGTCAGAAAAGGAAAGGAAGGGAGAGGTGCTGAGAGCTGTACCCCGGTGCCTGTTCTCCCTGCCTACCGTCCTCGTATTCCTGCGTCTTCTCTCCACAAACCCCAGCCTGGGGACTGCGATTATCTGGCAAGTAAACAATCACCTTGAGTTGGGCCCTTTCACTTATTTCCTTTTTTTCAATTAGTCAAACTGCTCATCTTTGTGTACAGTTTGTGAGCTTTAATGCATAAAAGGATTCTTGGCACAGCTGAGACTGTGGGAATACAGGTGAGCTCCAGCCCCCAAAACACTCCCTCCTCCTGCTGCCCCTTTGCAACCGTGTTCTCCCCGCAAACCCAGTCCCCGGCAGCCAGCGATCTGTTCTCAGTCATTATAGTTCTGGTTTTCTACCCAGAAGGTTGTATGGATGACATCCTGTGACATGTAACCTTGAGCCCATTAATTTTTGCTGGAGTCAAAGCAGTGGCCTTGGACAGGGAGCCTACTCATAACTATATTATTTGCAGATGTGAGGGACCATGAAAATACAAGTAATCAGAGTGCTTAGGCATAGGGTGTTTGGGGCAGCAATTTCTGAAGTTAAGTAGAAATTAAGCAAAATCCTTTTCATACAGGGTATTTCAGGAAGTTTGTGGAAAATTGGATTAAAAGACAATTTTTAAAGAGAAATTATTTATTTATTTGAAAGAGAGAGAGAGAGAGAGGGAGAAACAGAGATCTTCCATCTGTTGGTTTACTACCTAGATGGCCACAATGGTTGTGGCTGGGCCAGGCTGAAGCCAGGAACCAGGAGCTTGATCTGGGTCTCCCATAAAGGTGGCAGGGGCCCAAACACTTGAGCCATCCTCTGCTGCTTTTTCTGTGCCATTAGCAGCGAGCTGGATGGGAAGTGGAGTAGCCAGCACTCAAACCAGCACCCATATGGGATGCCAGAATCGTAGGTGACAGTTTTACCCACTATGTCACAGCTCCAGCCCCAGTGGTTGCTTTTTACAACTAGCCTGAGGAGTGGCAACACAAGGAACTATTGATCTGTGTTGTTTTAAGCACATGGGTACATTGGGACTCAGATCAGATTTGCCTCAGTGTCTCATTCTTTGAATTGTAAGAAGTGGTTCCCATCTTCTGGATCTTTCCATTGTTTGAATCTTCTGTCTTGATTATTGTGTGAAATGTATTTCCTGTGGTTCCATTTCGTGGTTTAAGTGGAAGCTTTAAAATAAGACTGCTTTTGAAGTGTGGTTTGCAGGCCAACTGCATCAGAATGCTTGCCAAAACACAGGGTTCGGGCTTCTATGTCTCACTGAGCCTAAGTTATCAGAAGTGGGGCCCAGAAACCTGTTTTTCGATAAAGTCTCCCTCCAAGTACAGTTCAGTTCACAACAGCTAAGGCATGGAATCAATACAAATGCCTGTCAGCTGAAGACTGGGTAAAGAAATTATGGGATAGGTACACCGTGGAATACTACACAGCAGTTAAAAAAATAAAATCCTTTTGTTTGCAACAAATGGATGAATCTGGAAAACATCATACTTAGTGAAATAAACCAGTCTCAAAAGGACAAATACCATATGTTCTCCCTGATCTGTGATAAAAGAGCACCTAAAAGGTAATCTATAGAAGTGAAATTTACATTTTGAGGTGTGGTAACTTTGAACAGCCCTTGTCTCGACCGTTGAGGAACAATTTTTTTTTCATATTATTTGAACTCTTTACTCAGTATAGTGTTTAAAGTTAATTGAAAATAGATCTTAGTGAAAAATAAGAATGGGAATAGGAGAAGGAGGAGGAACAAGGGTGGGAGTGCAAATGGGAGGGTAGGCACGGTGGAAAGAATCACTGTGTTCCTGAAGTTGTGTTTATGAAATGCATGAAGTTTGTATTCCTTAAATAAAAGGTTTCTGGATTTAAAAAAAAGTGGAGCAGCTGAGACTCAAATGGGTGCTGCAGTGCTGGCCCCAATAAACTTATCTTTTGGAAAAAAAAAAGTCTCCTAGTAATTTTTTTTTTTTTTGACAGGCAGAGTGGACAGTGAGAGAGAGAGACAGAGAGAAAGGTCTTCCTTTGCCGTTGGTTCACCCTCCAATGGCTGCTGCAGCCAGCGCGCTGCCGCCGGCGCATCACGCTGATCCAAAGCCAGGAGCCAGGTGCTTCTCCTGGTCTCCCATGAGGTGCAAGGCCCAAGCACTTGGGCCATCCTCCACTGCACTCCCTGGCCACAGCAGAGAGCTGGCCTGGAAGAGGGGCAACCAGGACAGAATCCGGCGCCCTGACCGGTACTAGAACCCAGTGTGCTGGCGCTGCAGGTGGAGGATTAGCCTATTGAGCCGTGGCGCCAGCCTATTTTTTTAAATATCTATGTCTTAATTTGAAAGGCTGAGAGAGAGAGAGAGAGAGAGAGAGAGAGAGAATATCTCCCTTCTCCCATTCTCCCATCTGCTGCTTTACTCTCCAAATGCCTGCAAGAGCCAGCTCTAAGCCAGGCCATTTCCTGGAGCCTAGAACTCCATCTGGGTCTACCACGTTGGGGACAGGGACTCAAGCACTTGAGCCATCACCTGCTGCCCCCCAGGGTGAGCATTAGTAGGAAGCTGGAATTATAAGGAACTCAGAAACATATGGAGAGAGGCATCTTAACTGCTGAGCCAAATGCCCACTCCTCCATGTCATTCTTATGCATGCCAAAATGTAGGCGGTTAAGTGGGTTGAGTATTGACCTTGGAACTTCTCTGAGACTCTTACCTTTAAAATAAAGTCCTAAAGGGCAGTGGTGGGGGTGTGCCAAAACAGGTTAAACTACTGCCTGCAATGCCAACATCCCATATTGGAGCACTGGTTCAAGTCCCAGCTGCGCCACTTCCAATCCGGCTCCCTGCTAATGCACCTGGGAAAGCAGTGGAGGACAGCCCAAGTGCTTGGGCCCTGCACCCATGTGAGAGACCCACATGGAGTTCCAGGATCCTGGTTTCAGCCTGGCTCAGGCCTGGGATGTTGCAGGCATTTGGGGAGTGAATCAGTGGATGGAAGATCTCTTTCTGTCTCTCTCTCTCTCTCTCTCTCTCTCTCTGCCTTTCAATAAATAAACCTTTTTTTAAAGATCTTAATCAGTGATTTTTTTTTTAAG